TAACAAAGCACATTTTAAAAATGGTGGCCTTCCTGTCAATAAATTGCCTTTGAATATTTTTTATACTGGTAATTGATATCTAGAAAAAACCCAGAAATGAGCAAAGAAATAATTTACTTGTTATTTATATCATTAATAATACTTATTAAATAATTTACAGGGTAAGTGTCTAAGACAGAGGTAGAGTAGGAAGAGATTCAGGAAAAGGTAAAATGTAAAATAAAACAATTGCATGAACTGGAGGTTGTTGTTTTTTTAAGCTTATATAGAAAAGTAGATGAAGAAAGTAAAAATCACCTATAGTTCTATCACCCAAGGATCACCACTGTTAAAACCTTGGATATATGTTCACACTATTTCCATGTCTCTTTACCTCCCTCTCCTGCCACACACAACCCTACTTTTTGTACTGAATTTGTATATTTAGTACAAAAAGGTTTTTTTTGTACTAAATATAACATGGGTTTCTATAACAAAATGTAGATTTAGATAATTATTATTATTTTTTAAAATATATTTTATTGATTTTTTACAGAGAGGAAAGGAGAGGGATAGAGTTAGAAACATCGATGAGAGAGAAACATCGACCAGCTGCCTCCTGCACACCTCCTATGGGGATGTGCCCACAACCAAGGTACATGCCATTGACCGGAATCGAACCCGGGACCTTTCAGTGCGCAGGCCGCCGCTCTATCCACTGAGCCAAACCGGCTTGGCGATTTAGATAATTATTATTATAGATTGTACAGAACCTCCTTGTATACATATATTTTATAACTTCTTTTAAAAATTACATGTTGATAGCTTTTAAATGGCTTCTATGTTTTTTATCATTTCAAAGAACACACAATTACATAAACTATAAATGAAATCTTAAGCACTGTTAGTAAACATTTAAATCTTTGAGTCTTATTTTAAAAAATCTTTTTACAACATTTAAATTATAAAGATAGTCCTCTAAAATTCTGGAATTTTGTCTTTCATATTTAATCTACTTAGACTTAATTTGGGGGTATAGCTTGTCATCTTTCATTTGTCACTTTAAGTAATTTTATCCAAGTACTTTGAGCCTTTATATACCCCAAATTATCTGTATGTTATACTTGAACAGCTATTTGACTGAATGCAGCATTTTGGTGTCACTATTCTTTTCCCTCAGAACTCTATAAATACTTTCACAATATCTTCTAGTGTTTAGTAACGTAGATAAAAAGGCCAAAGAGAGTGTTTTTTTTGTTTTTCTTCTATGAAGTTTGCTTGGTTTTTCTGCTGGGATACATATATTATTTCTTAGACATTAAAAATTTCCCCAAAATGCCCTGGCTGGTGTGGCTAAGCTGGTTGGAGCAACAGCCCATATGCCTAAAGGTGGTAGGTATGATTCCAGGTCAGGGCACATACCCATGTTGTGGGTTCAATCCCTGGTTGGGGAGTATGTGGGAGGCAACCAATTTATGTTTCTCACATCGATGTCTCTCTCTAAAAACAAAAAATATTTTTCTAAATTCTCAAGATAAATTGTTTTCTTTTTTAAAAAGCTTTTTCCAGTACTCAGTGAGCTATTTTCATCTGAAACTTCGTCTTCAAATCAATTTCTTCTACTTTATTTCATCAGTTTGCTATATGACTCAAGTATCTCTGGTTTTTTATTATAATCTCCTGGAACTCTCTTCCATTTCTTATTTTTCTGTTATTTCCATCTCTCCTCTGCTTTCCTATAATCTAAATATGTCCTCAAATTTGGTAATTTTTCTTTTAAGCCACACTCATTCTCCTAATTCTAAACTTGGCAATCTCATGATTGCGCTACTTTCAGTTTAAAAATTGTTTTTCTTCCAAAATATATTTGTTCACAGATTGTTCATATTTTCATCAAATGCTCTTACATGTCAATGCAATATCCTCTCAAACTGTATTAAAATTATAAATAATTATTTAAATTTGTTCCCATTTACTGTAACGAGGGTTCAGTCTGGTATTGAGTTTTTAATTAGCCTTTTCTTTTCATACATCTGGCAAGTTTTCACTAGCTACTCATTTCACTATCTAATGATTTTTATAAATGACAACCTGAGCCTGAATCCTAGAACTTACTTCCTGTGACCTTGAGTTCTCTAATCCGAAGATTCCTTAGCGATAAAGAGAAAATGTACACTTGATTGTAGGCACATCCCCAGTGGGGAGTGTGCAGGAGGCAGCTGATCGATGTTTCTCTCTCATTGATGTTTCTAACTATCTCTCTCCCTTCCTCTCTGAAAAAAATCAATAAAATATATATTTTTTAAAAAAGACAATGTACAGTAACTTCCTCAAAATGTTGATAAAATTTTAAAAAGATAACATTATAAGAGCAATTGACTTATAGTGACCATTCAGAAAATTTAGTTCTCTTACTCCTTTATCCCTAATTCTTATTATCATAGATAGGGCTAACCACCTAGCAAGTCAGAAATAACCAAATCTCTTTTTCAACTTTGTCTTCTGCCAAGAACCAGATGACTAAAATATTTTATGTATTTAACAGATCAGTGATGTCTGCATTTCTATATATTTCCTCTTTAAAAAAAAAGAAAAGTAGCCCGAACCGGTTTGGCTCAGTGGATAGAGCATCTGCCTGCAGACTCAAGGGTCCTGGGTTCAATTCCGGTCAAGGGCATGTACCTTGGTTGCAGGCACATCCCCCAGTGGGGAGTGTGCAGGAGGCGGCTGATCAATGTTTCTCTCTCATTGATATTTCTAGCTCTCTATCCCTCTCCCTTCCTCTCTGTAAAAAAATCAATAAAATACATTAAAAAAATATTTTGAAGATAAAATACAGGAATTCTTATCACAAACTGTATTTTAACATTACTAAACTTCCGTCCTGGGCACAATGTTTAATCACACTGTACAGACTTTTTTGAAATCAGGTATGGCTATATGACCAACTTCTGGCCAAAAGAATGTAAGCTGAAGTGATGTATACTATTTCCTAGCCTAACTAATGAAAGAATCTCATGCTCCAGTCAGTAGGAAACTATATAGTTAAATAAATGTAATAATCCAATTAATTTTTTTCTTTACATATTCCATTTTTTGGTGTCCTCAAAAACCTAACAAAGTGGAGTCACAATCAGAAAGAGCCTAGGTTACTGAATCTCCATGCACAGGAGAGCCACCTGTTAATCAGAAATACCCACTTTTACTTCACTTGAATGAGAAATAAACTTCCGTGTGTTAAACTCACATTTTGAGATTAAATTATTATAACAACTAGGCCTTGGCTGGTGTTCGTCGGTGGTTAGAACATTGGCTTGTGCACCAAAGGGTCTCAGGTTTGATTCCTCGTCAAGGGCACATAACTGGGTTGCAGGTCCGATCCCGGGCCCCAAATGGGATGTGTACAGGAGGCAACCAACCTATGTGTCTCACATAGATGTTTCTCTCTCCCTACCCCTCCCTCCTCTTCCCTTCCTTCCTCTCTCTCTCTAAAAAAACGGACAAAAAATCAAAATATCCTCGGGTGAGGATTAGTAACAAAACACACACACAAACAAACAACTACAGCAACCAGGATTAGGCCAATATACTCACTAAAGTACAGAATTTCTTCACATTACTATAAAAAGTGTATGCGGTTGGAAAATATGCTTATGTTATAGGTATAGGGTTTTCAAGTGCCTTCCAATTGAATGGGCTAAATTGGTTTTGAATGTTTTGAAGTAAAGAATATCTTTCAACATTTTAAAAGTCAATTGATTATTCTTTAGTGGCACAGAGCCCACTTCCTATTTGTGGCATATAGCTCAATTAAATACTTCTATCAGACAGAACCTACACACAGAACCTAGACACAGAACCTACACAGAACCTAGAGACAGAACCAAGAGACAGAACATGGCAAAAGATCATGGACAGAAACTGGACACAGAACCTAGAGAAACAGAACCTAGAAACAGAACCTAGACACAGAACCTGGACACAGAACCTAGAAACACAACCTAGAGACAGAACTTAGCGAGAGAACATGGCAAAAAATCCTGGACAGAACCAGGCTACAGAACTTGGCTAGAGAACCTAGACAGAATATGGCAGGAGAACCTGGATAGAACCTGGCTGAAGAACCTGGCTACAGAACCTGGTGACTGAACATGGCTGGGACCGCAGCTTCTGGAAGGTGACTGGTGGTGAACTGACTTCCCCTCGCGTTTGACCAAGTGAGCTGTGGTTAGCTGTCCTCCACTCAGGTTCTGGCCGGTGAGCGGTGGTGAACTGACCTCCCCTCAGTTTCTGGCCGGTGAGCGGTGGTGAACTGACTTCCCCTCACGTTTGCCCATGTGAGCTGTGGTTAGCTGTCCTCCCCTCAGGTTCTGGCTGATGAGCGGTGGTAAACTGACATCCCCTCAGCTTCTGGCCGGTGAGCTGTGGTGAACTGACCTCCCCGCACCATTGGCAGAGTGAGCTGTGGTTAGCTGTCCTCCCCTCAGGTTCTGGCCCATGAGCTGTGGTGAACTGACCTCCCCTTGCATTTGGCTGAGTGAGCGGTGGTGAACTGTCCTCTCTGGTTCTGGCCGGTGAACGGTGGTCAACTGACTTTCCCTCGTGTTTGGCTGAGTGAGCTGTGGTGAACTGACCGCCCCGCAGCTTCTGGCCGGTGAGCTGTGGGGAACTGACTTCCCCTTGCTTTTGGACGAGTGAGTGGTGGTGAACTGTCCTCTCAGGTTCTGGCCCGTTAACGGTGATGAACTGACCTCCCCTCGCGTTACTGGCCAAGTGAGCTGTGGTGTACTGACCTCCACTCGCATTTGGCCGAGTGAGCTGTGGTTAGTTGTCCTCCCCTCTGGTTCTGGCCGGTGAGCGGGGGTGAACTGACCTCCCCTCGCGT